CCCCGAATTTGTGTATATGGATTGTTCCCCTACTGCTGCCTCCTTCTAGGGTGAAAACGGTATTTTAGTTTCTAGACACCAGTGAAGCAAATTCGCTGTGGGTGCTCTTGATTTTTTGCAAACGGTTCCACACTGTGGGTGCCCACTTCTCCATCCATAAAGACAAGCTTCCCTTGTTCTCCTCTCTTAGTTGCCCAAGGAGGAGCATGGTTAGGGGAAAGGGTAACATTTGGGAATCTCAAAGGGCAATGCTTTTGCTTTGCTTGGGGGCATAAGCTACTTCTCTAAGATAGGTAGAGAAAGAGGGAGTCAATGTGGTCCAGGGCCTCTGATGGCAAATAGCATCCAAAATGCCAACTTGACCCACCTCACCCACCCAAAGGTAGATGGTTTGGGAAGTACCCATCTACCAAAACCTTGCTTATACAGTACTTTGGAGATTTCAAGAAGTGCCATAAAACTTTCCAAGGTGGATTTATTTGTAACTCAACATGCATCATCCTCCCTTTGCTGTGAGCAACTGAAACACGGGAAAATCTCCAAAAGGCAAATGATATCTACCGGCTACTCCTACTTTATGATGAAGTAGGGACTCTGCTGGGAAGCAGGGGTGGGGGGGGACATGACAAGGAATTCAGAAACATCAGGGAAATGGATAGTTCTTTATCATCGTTCTGCAATTTCTCGGTGGAAAAAATCGATGGCAGAACGCAACCTCAATAGGCAGGAAGTGGAAAGAGCCAGCAAAACGGCTCTTACATAAGTAGCAACCAGACCAGGAAGGAAATGGGGCAGAAGTTCTGAGGGTGCAGTTCCCATTAAAGGCAGACGGCCTCATTTTCTTTCACTGATCGATTGTTCTCTTGGTCCAGCCTTGCGAACGAAAGAACCCGATCAGATCGCTCCATGTTCTCTTTCATTTCTTACATAAGAACCATCCTAAACTCTGAAAATAACTGGAGATGTAGCAGCCCTAGAAGAAGGAGAGAGGGGGGGGAGCTAGGAATTTTTCCTCTTCTCTGCCCCACCGGAGTCACCATCAGCCCCAGGGTGAAGAGGCTGGCTAAGTTTTCTGATGCATATCAAGGACTGCTTTGAGCCACAGGAGGATGGGAGCTATAGATCAAGGGAGCGCCAGGAGAAGAACAGATTAGGTCTCCTTCTCCTGGCCACCTCTTTAATCCAACTGCAGACACGAAGGGAGGGAAAAGCATAGATAAAGAAATGGAAATCACCAGGTCTCCTGACCACAGACCTTTCCTGTCTCAGCTGTTTTGGTCCCACAATCCATAAAGTTATGAACACAGATACTTCCTTCCCTAGGGTGCTTGCCTGCACAGATATCGCTGTTCATGGTTTGGGGTCTAACAGAGAGTGTTTTTTTCCAGGATCCCTAACTGGTCACCTGGAGGCAATGGTCACTCAGAGCTTTGTAAGCTTGCTATCTTTTGTGAGATATACCCATGTCTTCTGCTGGATAGCTCTGTGGGAGTTTGATTCCCACTTGGCCTCCTTGATAGGGGTTGGAACTGATGCTCCATAGAGCCCCTTTCCAGCTCTGCAGTTCAGAAATGATTGTTATTCTAAGACACCATCGTTAGCACAAAGTTAAAACTACAATAGGCCCAGAATCGGAAGAACCACCTTTTTGGGTCTTTCTGGTTTTTACCTGCTCCGAAGAATATATTTTTTTTGGGTACAGGGATCTTACAGAACTGGCTGATGTCAAAGCCTGCTTACATTTTCTTAGTGACTAGGAGAGGTTTTTAAACAGGATGGTTTGCATTTTGTTGCTTCTAAATTTGTTTCAGTAATGCTTTTACCTGATATTTTTAATATAGTGGTATTAATTCATTTTAATATTTGAATAATTCACCATTTTTAGCTTTCAATATTGTGCCTTTAATGGTGTAAGCTGATTTGGGTCCTTTTATTAGGAGAAAGGCCGGGTAAAAATATTTTAAATGAATACACGGGAACTGCTGGATCACTCAGTGGTTGAGGTCTCTGGCTGCAGAGCCAGAGATTAGGAATTCAATTCCCCCCACTGGGCCTCCTTGACAGGGGGCTGGACTTGATGATCCAGGGGGTCCCTTCCAGCTCAGAAATCCTTTCACAACAGATTTCCTTAGAGGACTGACGTCAAAGCAGAGGGTTTTGCAAGTGTCAAGAGCGTGGAATGAAGAAGGGGGGAAACCACAGCATTAATGCACAGCATTTAAAATGTGTGAAAATGGTAGAGATTCACATCACTTTCCTCCCAGGGCTGTAGCACGGAGTAATCAGTTCAAGCCAGGGAGTGAAGATTGCTATCTCACTAAAAACACACACCTTCTCATCAGAGTTTGGGCCTGTGGAACAAGCATTCAGGTGTGACTCTTGCTGTGCAGAACCTTCCAGCCAGTTCTATGCATGCTTTGACTCCACGGAAAGAACCTCCACCTGAATCAGTAAGTTTTTCCCCCATGCACGTATGCACGGACACCATCGTAACTGTGATACCTGAAGCAGTTCCATTTAGAAGAAAGCCGTCTTATTCCATGGAACTTGATTCCTGTTCAACACATACAGTTCTGAAGAATGTTTACATCTGTTGTTTTTTTCCCCCCCAACCTAGATAAAATCACCTTGCCTTACTGCGTTCTAGTATGTGCCTAGGAAAATCTCTTGGCTAACATGATATCCCAACACAAAAGAAGCCAGAGGGGACGGGGGAATAAAAGGTTGTGGCATAATATTGGCATTTTATTGCAGGTTTTAAACCAGGATATTTAAAGTACGTTGTTTCACTCCAAAAATACACCACATATATATACATATATATATTTTAATATAAAAACACATAATTTCCAGGCATCCATACTTAGGGAAAAAAACTTTTCTTTTTCTACCTGGCATGGTGAGTATTCAAAATTGGCACTTAGGTAAAAGCTCAGTGTTTTTTTTGTTTTGTTTAAATAAATGGGAGACACAACAGCTGGTCAAAAGTGCCTACCGGCTTGTGGCTTCCAGGGGCACAACCAAACAGAGCCACCCCCTGTATTCTCTGAAGCACCGTAATTTTTGTAAGGGCAGGGTTCTAGGCATATTTAGACACCCCTGGGCTGTGTATGGGGTGGTGCTGTATGGCTATAAAGTGTGCAAGAGTGTGAGACGTAATCTCTACCTGGCCTTCAAGAGGTGATCCTATGCAAGTCGCATAGATCGAAGTGAGCAAGGCCACTCTGGCTAAGCCTCCAAGTGGAGAACACCAGCAGGGCTAAAAAAATGTGTTTTGTTTTGGTTTTGAAACAGTCAGACAGATTCCTCTTGACACCCAGCTGGGAGAATGGCAAGGATCCAAGCAATAACATATAAAACAACAACAACAACAAGAAAAAGAGCAGAGAGCAGCCAAAAAGAAAAAAAAAGAGAGAGGAATCTCTCCGCTTTCACAGTACGGAAGGCACAAAGTTGAAAGGAGGCAGAGGAGCAGGACCAAACGGAGAACCTCAGAGAGTTGTACCCCACGTCCACAGGAGACGAGAAGCGGATTCCATGTCTAGAAGCAGTGCACCCTTAACAACAACAACAAGAAAAAGAGCAGAGAGCAGCCAAAAAGAAAAAAAAAGAGAGAGGAATCTCTCCGCTTTCACAGTACGGAAGGCACAAAGTTGAAAGGAGGCAGAGGAGCAGGACCAAACGGAGAACCTCAGAGAGTTGTACCCCACGTCCACAGGAGACGAGAAGCGGATTCCATGTCTAGAAGCAGTGCACCCTTAAAGAGGAAATGTCCACAGGAGACGAGAAGCAGATTCCAGGTCTAGAAGCAGTGCACCCTTAAAGAGGAAAAAACTGTCTTTTTGAACTGTGAGTTCACCGCAGTCTGCATTTGGCAAATTAGCTTGTACAGTATTTGGTTTGCAAGGACGTAGTCAGTTGGGAGATAGCATGGCTTTGCTGGCAGAGCTGATGGACCAGGCACTGAAAGATCTGAATACCCGAATGGATAATATTGCAGAGGTTTTAAAAACCACACACCTCTGGCCTTAGGCATTGTCAGCCCACAGAGCAGGCAAAGCACTGCTCTGCCTGCAGTGGGGTAGAAGCCCCTGGGCGGTCTGGAAGGGCCCCTCCAGGCTGGGTTTTCTTTTTCTTTCTTTTTAAATTTTCCCTTTTGAGCTCTGCAACGGGAAGGGGGGGGGAGTCCTCTCTTACATAGACAACACCTATCTATCCTTCGGGCGATGCGGGAAGGGGGTGTCCTTCCAAAGGAGCACCGGCCCAGGGCTCTCCTCACTCAGAGTCCGCCGGTGGCCCGCACCTCCTCTCGGCGGCACGTTTCCCCCTTCCTTCCGTGGGTTCGGCCCCAAACCTGCTCCAGGCTGCTCCGCAGATCCTCGAGTCCTCTCGCCGAATCCCAAGAGGCATCACCGGCCCTTTGAGTCCCCGAGGGAGCCCCGCGGGCGCG